GGGGGGGGGGGTAAAAGAGAGAAAATTGGTGTGGAAAGGAGTTGTGGATTGAAAAGAAAGGGGATATAGATATTTCAAAACGACAGAAAGAAGGGGAAAGAGGGGGAGAGTAGGGGTGAGGGATGGAGGGAGAGGGAAAGAGAGGGAGGGAGGGAGGGAAAGAGAGGGGAGATGGAAATAGAGAAGGACAGAGGGACAGAAAGATAGAGACAGAGAGAGATTGAGAGAGGGGTACGGAGAGAAAAGAAAGAGAAGAAAAAATGGGAGATATATTAAAACACTATTTATTTGACAAGGTATCTGTTACAAATTTATGAATTCGCCACATGCCAATGTGGAAAAATGGAAAGTGACATTGTGAATACAAGGAAACAATAGTCGGCTAATTCTCTCACAAGAATGTCCTTGCTCACCACAAAGGCTTTTGAAACTGCGCTCATCTGGCCCGTGTGTTTCCCGATCGCCTCTCTGCGTTCATTTCTGTGTTCATTTATAAAATGTTTGTCGTATTCAAATTCCTTCTGTTTATCTACTTACTTGGGGCGATGCTATTTCCTTTATTTTATTCATCTCCCTAGCGTGTCACGAACAGGAACTAACATTCATTTTTAAAACGTTCACACTAACAAAGCGTATCGTTTTATTCGCATTCTACACCACTGCCTTTTCTCTCCCTGGACCAGGGTAAAATCTACCGACAAACACTTTTCACTTGTCCCAATCTTTGGCTAAATGCTTGACATGATTATTTGTCTTTCCACTTTTCTGTATATCGGTCTTTTTTTAAATTATTATCCTAGTTCCACGTTGTGTGTTCTCTTACTTTGAGGACTCAAAATAGTTCAGAAGAATTCATATCTGCCTTCCTCAACTTAACCGAAGAATCTTCTTATACAAAGACAGATGGGGTGGTGGGAGAGAAAAGATGAGGAAACGACCTTGGGTCTTCTTTGTTTTATTTGTGTATGTCATTGCTGTTGATGTGGTTACTGAGCTTAATGTTGTTGTTAGTTGTGGTGGTGCAAGTATCAGCAGTTGGGGCAGTACACACAGCACAAAACACACCAAAAGCAATGACATAAAAAGCAATACCTGTAGTAGTGACGGTGGTAAAAGTACCCCATGCATATAGTAATCATGAAGATTTAATTCAATTTAATTCAATTATATTTTTGTGAGATGAGAGGTTTTTTGCAAAGAGTTTTTGTTGCATTTTTTCTTCTTTTTTTTTCCTTACTGTCTTATTGTCTCCGATATTTAAAATCTTGGCAGTTGTACCTGTTGTCGACGTGTTGTTGATTGGCAAGCCTCATTGTTGCAATTTGTGTTTGAAGCCAAAAATACTATCAATGCTTGTACCGGCGATTTCACCTCGAGAGAAAGAAACATAATTTCATTTTCTGTGGAGATGAGCTTACAGCAGGTTGGCAAAAGGAGAAGTTATGTCATTGAGCATAATAAATAACATAACATTTTTCATAATTGCTGCGCTATTGTTGTAAAAATCAAGCTGAAAATAAACTTGAAAAATACGTGCAAGCAACTTCATTTGTCAGTTTAAAAGTAAAAGCATTTTCCCTTGACAGATTGAAGGTGAACTGATCACATAGTTTGTTTATCGGGGATTTTCTTTTACTTCTCGTTATTCTATTAGCATAATTTTACTTTGCCCTTCTGAAAGGAAGGGGCGGGGGGGTGAAAAAGAAGAGGCCATTTCAAGTCTGCGAACAATGAAGAAAACTTCACAGTGGCCTCGAATTACTGTAACCGCTGTGAAGACCAATGTAATCCCGCTGTAATGGTGTTTATTATATTCACAGAACACGTGAGCGGGAAGTAGAATGAATTTCGAGTAAGACATTAATTGTTCTTTCCAATCCTCCTCTAGTGGGATACGAAAATAAATTAAAATTGTGAAGAGAAGATGAGGAGGACTTGAGGTACGAGTCGTCTTTATTGTGCACGTCTTAGTTTTGGACGAGAAGAAAGGGCAGCTCATTTCAAATTTTGTGTCATTGCTTGTTCGAAAAGGGCACAAAATTCTAAAGAGTGGTTTTCCAAAATTATCTTCCAGACTGTTAATCTATCTGCATACACTTTCATCATTTCGATAAGAACGTCTTCACAACTTTCATATCATGTTCCGACAATAGAAATGCATTGGGAATCACCAAGGTGGCCTGGGTATAAAACGTTCTTGATTGATCTATCGTTCTCTGCTCAAAACTGAAGTGAATAAAGAGTTAAAGATTGTGTCACCTTGAACCTCTTCATTTAAGTACTCTCCAGACTGAATGCACCACTCTCGAAACTAAAGTGACGGGTGTGTGAGAGGAGGTGGGTGATAGAGAGTCATTTGCCCGGGCTTTCTATGAAGTGAACATTTGAATATCAAGAAATTAATGAGATGTACGGACAATTTTTTTATAAACCTGCAGTTGTCAATTGCTGAAGAAAATATGACAATTTAAAAAACAAAATTCCGCAAACTTTGGGCTCGGTAAAGACACGGTTACACTGATCCAGAACGTTATGAAACTGAAATTGAACTACTTTGGGCATATCACGCGCCACGATTCACTCGTTAAACATATTCTGGAAGCAAAAGTAGAAGGAAAGAGAGGAAGTGCGAGGCATAACAGAACAGAAGAACAGTAGGCCTACATAGAAACCTGGATTGAAAACCAAAACGACACCGGCAGGCAGAATGGCAAGAGACAGGGCATTTTATTGTAGACAAAGGTTCTAGAAGCATCGCCTCCCTTCTGGAGAAGTTTAGAAGATGAAGAAGAGACTTTGGACTGTTCGATTTTTATTCCTTGCCTTCACAATTCGTATGTAAGTACACACGTTTACGTAGTGTTTCGAGGTTTGCCTCCGATTTCCAGTTAGATTCGCGACAGTAGACGCTATGTTGTGATTTATTTTTGGTTTTATTTTTTTGTCTTGTTTTATGTGGTCTTTAGTGAGCTCTTACGTTATATCGTTGATTTTTTTCTTGCCTTTAATTTTGCTTCTTTTTTTAAAGTCGTGTTTAACTTGAATAGTTAAAAACAACATATTTTAAAAGACTTACATGAGCAAATTAATGAACGTCTTCATGCAGTATCAATGTCGGGGAAATTTCTACTTCAGTCCTTCAATCGGAAATTACGCACATCTACGGTCTCCACCCTCTGAGGGGTCAACGTTGGGCTAGCCGCGAAAAACGCAACACCCATGTGCGAAAGACATTTTTAACTCTTGTTATGAAAGAAGAGGTAGGGGCGGGTGTATTAGGCTTTACAAAGGCTAATTTGGGTAAATTAATTAATTAACCTCCTAATGCAGAAACAACTTTGTTCCCATCCTCTTTGAACAAAAAGTTCCATGATGATACTTTGTGTATGCCTTTCTACCGCACAAACTGAAATAAGTTGGCGGAATTTTCCCCTTCTCATGATTATAGGGTATTTGTTCTATTATCATCATGACAGCCTTTCTCTGCCCTTAAAGGCACCATCAAGAACTCTCCATGCACCTCTATCCTGGGCTATAGTCTACACCTCTATCCACCAATGTCCCTTCTCCATTAAGTGTGAATCTGAGTATAGTTTGTTAACCTTTTCCTTTATATTGGTAGCTACTGTACTAACTGTCTCATCAAACTCTAGTGGGTAGAGCTAGCATTGGGCGTGTTCCTGTAATATTATTGTCGGCCAGCAGTTCAGCTGCACTGAGCCAAAAATTTTGTTTTATTTTGTTTTTGTTGTTGTTGTTGCTGTTGTTTTTAAATTGCAGTTTCTAAATCTGCGGTGTCGGTTGTACGTGCTCGAGAAATATTTGGTTGAAATATTCAAATTCTGAAAGCTAAAAAAAGAAAGACGACGCACAGCTTAGTTTCAATTTTAAAAGAATAAAAAACGGCAAGGTGCTCTCTCTCTCTCTTTCTCTCTCTCTCTCTCTCTCTCTCTCTCTCTCTCTCTCTCTCTCTCTCTCTATCTCTATCTATCTATCTATCTATCTATCTATCTATCTATCTCTCCTGAAAAAAAATATTTCCTGTTCAGTTGAACAGCTTGCGGTTGACATGCTTTTTGCTCATTCTATTTCTGTTTCGGTGTCCATATTGTTCTTTTCAACTCATCATACAGCTGAGTAAATTCGGAAATGCATGAAACGCAATTAGTGCAAATTGTGTAACGTGGATGTGGGAGTAAGGGATAGGGGGAGGGGGTGGAGAGAGTTGTGCCAAAATTTGATTGTGGACATTCCAGACAATCCTGTATGTTCTAGGGACAGGCAGCTCTTGATTTTAAAGTTTTTTGGTGCTATTAAAAAAATTCCTACCTGTTGTTTTTATTGTTGTTGTTGTTGTCGTTGTTGTTGTTGTTGTTCTTTTTGTTCTTGTTGCTGTTGTTATTGTTATGGTTATTATCCCTATTAGTGTTGGTGGTGGTGCTGGGTTTTTTTTTGGGGGGGGGGGGGGGGGTTGGGGGGGGCGGGGGTTGGTGTTATAGTTATTATTGTCGCAATTGATGTTGTTGTTGTTGTTATTGTTGCTGTTGCTGCTATTGCTGTCATATTGTTGTTGCTGTTGTTGTTGTTGTTGTTGTTGTTGTTGTTGTTTCTGTTGTAAATGCTCTTTTTTTCGAATTGTCATGTGCGTCTGAAGTCTGTGGGGAAACAATACCACTTTCACTTTGCAAGCTTTGGCCCTGATTGAATTAAAACAAACTCCCAACATAACTACAATGCAGGACAGATGCTTTATATTTGAATTTCTGTTGTTATCAAAGATCTAATGATCTACGTTAAAAAAATGATGTACATTGTTACTGACTGCTTTATTTTTTTTTTTATTTCCTTTTTTTTTTGTAGGGTAAATTTAATTCGCCAGTGTTTTGTATGCATAAAGGAGGAGTGGTCTCGTTCTGGGTTATCTACAAATCCGTGGAATTCATGTTGATGCCAGACTCATGTTTTATATAAGCAAAGAACAGAGTTTTCCAGCAGATTCGAAGTATAAATTTAAAAAAGAAGTGTTCTCTCTATACGTTCCCTTAACACTTTCCTCGTTATTAATAAAATTGTCTACTTACAAAATAGTTCGAAGAACGGTAACTCAGCTTCCAGTAAGCCTTTTTAAAATCACTGTCTATCTATTTCTTTATGTATATATAAAGCTATCTATTTATCTATCTACCTTCTCTCTCTCTCTCTCTCTTTCTCTCTCTCTCTCTCTCTCTCTCCCTCTCTCTCTCCCTCTCTCTCTCCCTCTCTCTTAGCCTCTCTCTCACTCTGTGTGTGTGCGCACGCGCAAGCGTGTGTGTGAGTGTGTGTGTGTGTGTGCGCACGCGCGCGCGCGTATGTGTGTGTGTGTGTGTGTGTGTGTGTGTGTGTGTGTGTGTGTGTGTGTGTGTGTGTGTGTGTGTGTGTGTGGTGTGTGTGTGGGGGGGTACGTTTGTCTCTAAACCTCAACCATTGATTTTTAAAAGTCAACATATCTACTCACTACATATGTCGCATTATTATATTATTATTTTATCTCGTTTTCCTCATGTATCACAAATATCTGCTTGTTTGTACTACAACTGCATCGTCATATATCACATTTTCATTATTTTCTGAACATTTTAGCAGGAAATGCTGAGAATGCTAACGTTTACTAGCTTATTCTAAACTTGCTGCGACATTTAACGCTCACGAGTATGCCTACACGTTGTAAGAATTAATCTTATTTAAAGACGCACTAGCCATCCACGTCTAGGTGCTATTTGTTTGTCTCTCTGTCTCTCTGCCCATGCCTCTGTCATAACCCTCTCTCCCTTTTCCTTTTTCATCTCATCCTTACCCTCTCTCTCTCTCTCTCTCTCTCTCTCTCTCTCTCTCTCTCTCTCTCTCTCTCTCATATACCAAAAATAGGGACTTGGGATCTCTCAAAGCGAACGAAAAGCCCTCCAAACTGCCCGTGGCACGAGTGACCTGTGACCCGGAAATATTTGAACAATCTGCTTATCCAATCGACGGCGTCTGAAAACGCTCATCTTCAGCCCGGTTCCCTCGCCGTGCAACCTTTAGAAATGGCAGCAATAAATTCGAAATAAATCATCCAAATTTGACACCTGTTCCCCGACAGAGTGGGAGGTCCAGCTTTGGTAGAGTCATGTTCATATCTTCTGCCCGAGATCTGGGGGCAGTCTGGGAGTATTTGTAAGCGGAAAATGAAATCAGTTTTAATCAAACACGCCGACGGTTTTGGTGGGGATGAGAAGGAAAGTATGGGGTGAGGAAGTGTTGATTCTAAGCAATCACCATCAAAAAGACATCCCCCATCCTTTCCTGGAGGATTGGATGAAGAAGATGGTGGAGGGGGAGGGGAAGAGGGAGGGAGGGAGGGAGAGGAAAAGATTGAGAGTGAGAGAGGGAGAGAAAAAGAGGGAGAAAGACAGAGCGCCCGAGACAGAGAGAGAGAGAGAGAGAGAGAGAGAGAGAGAGAGAGAGAGAGAGAGAGAGAGAGAGAGAAACGGGAGAGAAAAAGAGAGAGGGGGGAGAGATGGAGGAAAAAGAGAGGGAGAGAGAGAGTGGGAGAGAGAGAGGGGGAAGGGAGAGAGAGAAAGAGAAAGAGAGAGGAGGTAGAAGTAAAAAAAGGGGAAAGGAGAGAAGAAGAGGATTGCATGTACAGCAGAATGACGGAACAGAAAAAAACCATTTACTCTATAACGTATGTCTTTAAGAGCAAGAATATAGATCAACATATACGCCCCAGCAAACGTTTTCGTATTTGCAAATGTTCGTTTGTGTGTGCGTTGATGAGTGTTGTGTGTGTGGGTGGTGATTGTAGTGTGTGTGTGTGAGTGTGTGTGTGTGTGCGTGTGTGTGTGTGTGTGTGTGTGTGTGTGTGTGTGTGTGTGTGTGTGTGTGCGAGAGAGTGAAAGGGAGAGGGGGGAGAAAGAGAGGGCGATAGAGCGTCGAGCAGAGAGAAGAACATGATATTTCTATATTCCTGTAACCCATCCTGTTCAATATCTTTTCTCCTCTAGACTTTATATAATCCGTGCAACCTGAGGAGGGTTTGGAAGGGAAAGAAAATGTGAGGCAGCGTGATGGAATCAGGCTCTCGTCAATTTTTGGGCATGTAGAGTTATTGGTATCACCTGTCTTTATTTGGATGGAAAAAGTATCCAATTATCTTGAATGCTAGTCAAGATATTTACGAAACAAAGAGGTGGGGGTCACCTGTTTTCAGCGGTAAAATTAGTAAGAAAATGGCCGCCAAAGGTTAGTCATTTCCAAAGCTTAAGAGTCCATGGTAACTGCAAATTTACGTTTTCTGTGCCTTTAAAATCAATTTTTTTTCAAAAAAATCCACACAGAAATGAGTTCTTTAATGGGCATGAAAGGTGTTGAGCCAAAAAACAAAAATTTAATAAAAATTCACAAACCTGCGGAAAAAGGCAAG